AGAAGAGCTGATTTTGTCCTTGTTTGTCTCTCACCAAGCTTGTTTTTCCTTTCTGACTAATTCTGCAAACTGTGTGATGAAGATCTTCCCATAAGGAGCAGATGTGGAAACTGTTGGCTCATTTAGGCTATAACTTTTCAGAGGAAGAACTGAGGTCAGTATTGCCCTGGCCTCCAGATAGACAGATGTCTGCCATCTAGAAAAGTATTTCCTTTCACAGCAATCCAATTCATTTATGGTTTTTCCTGCTGTGCCAAAAAAACAGAGCTTTTGTAGAGCATGTTAATATGCAACTAGGTCTTGTTAGCAAGTGGAACAAGTTGGCAACTTCTTAAAAGTCAGAATAAAATTAGAAATTGAGTAAATTGGTTAAGTATTTAATGTGTCATTTTTATTGCACCCAGCCAGTAACTATTTGCTATTGTGATCAACAATTTACAACAATTGTTGTTGATAGATTACTTTAAGTCCCCTTGAGTGTTTTCTTTAAAAGGAACCTGAAATATGTTTCATTAAAGAAATGTTAATTGCCAAATAATTTATAATGAACACATTTCTCTGTAATGCAAAAAAAAGGGGGGGGGGCTTGATTATTCAGAAGATCAGAAGATAAGATGGTATGGAGAATATACCAGGACAGACAGAAAATGGATCAGAACACCATATTCATGGTTGGCAGATTCTGAATACTTTAATGTTAGCCAATAATACTATTAGAAAATATCTGCCATAGCTGGTTTACACTGACTACTCTTTCAGTCTTAGCATTACGCGTCTGTATATCTTCACTACACCATAATTAATTAAAACTTGCAAACTGGAGTTATAGGTTTTAAGCTTCTTTTCTAGGCTGGTTAACTGTCTCTCTCTCAACCACTGAGATCATTCTGAACTGGAATAATTCTTTCTGTGACTTTTGAAGACTAGTGCAACAAATTTAGAATTCAGCTCTTGATCAAACACTTAATTAGGTTTCTTTGGATTCATGAGCACTTTGGTAGAAAATTCCTGGCTGAACTAATCTTGTTTTATTTAAATGTGGCTCTGTTCCCAAGGTTTAAAAAAAGGTTCCTAGAGGCGTTTAACGAGATTGTTTAATGATTAACATTAAGTCTATAGGTAAAAGTTCTCTGTGCCTAATGGGTATCCCTTTCTTTTTTGAATTAAAGGATGCCAGAGTAGGTAAAAAGATAAGAAAGGGATGCAAGGCATGGCTTCTAAAATTCTTTCCAATTCTGTTTTGGAGGGAAAGGGATAAGAATAAAGCAGGGTCCAGCATTCTGTTCCCACATACAAGGGGGAAATTTTCTGGATATTTTTCCCCTCAGCACAGTTCAGTCCCATCCATCCCATTTTTGAACTTGGTGTGCCAGTTTCTTCTGTCAGACCGAACTTGGCCCCATTCTCTTCGGTTTTCTGAGTGTTATCCAGCTAATGGATAGAAAGAATTCTGAGACACTGAACAAAATTTATTTCCAGAATTCTATTAAATTTGAAAAGATTAAAAAATAATAATAAGGTGAATAGGTTGAGATTTTGAAGAAGAAATATATTTTCAAGAAGAGCGGTCAAGCCCTCCACATTATGCCTGCAATGTGGAGTGCTCCAGGGCTTGGGTCTTACCTTTCTTCTTTTAGCATCAGCATGCAATTGCTGGGGGAGGTTATCTGACAGCATAGAGTAGAGTATAAAAAGTATGCTGATGATGCCTAGCTAGACATCTCCATCTCTAGCCAGACAGGTGATGCTGTTGTGGTGCTGACAGAATACCTGCAAGCTTTAAGGGTCTGGATGGAGAAAAACAGGTTTTCATTCAACTCAGGAAAGATGGAGTAGCTTTGGGTTTTTGGCCCCACAAGTCTGGATGATATATCATCTTTGAATCAAGATGGGGTAACACTCCCCTTGATAAGCTAGCGTGCAATTTGGGAGTCTTCCTAAGCTCATGGCTCAAGAAATAGGTGGGCAACTGGGGCTAGAGGCTTTGCAGATTAATTTTGTTCACCAACTACATCCATTCCTGGACCCAGATGTTCTGCTGTCAGTCACTCATGCTTTGGTCATTTCCTGTTTGGATTATTGTAATATGTTCTACGTGGGCCTGTTTTTAAGACTACCCAGAAATTACAATTAGTCCCCTAGGCTTGGCCACATTGTTGTTTTATTTTTTAACGTATTTTTTAATTAAACTTATGAAAATGATGAATACAAATGAAAATGGAGTGGGAAAGTGGGGGAGCATAAAAGGGGAAGACAGATGTGTGAGATAAAATGGGGGGAGGGAAGAAAAATGAATTATTTTGTTCAAAAGGATAATAACAGGTCTTTGTTTTAAAAATGATATAACCATTAAAATACTGAACAATGTACTTTTCTCTTTTTCTTGCCAAGCCATCTTCCTCCTGAAGTAAGGATGGCCCTCACTCTGCTGGCCTCTAGAAAGGCAATCAAAAGCTGGCTCTTTCTCTGGGCCTTTAGGTCACATTGAGCTGAAGCCACAATCAAGTGATGGTATTATCATTTGATTGGGGGCCATTTTACTCTTTTATTGTTCCATTATTATCTGTAAGTACAGAATATGCATTGTATTCTTCGGTTGGGTCAAGAGTTATCTTGGTTTGAATTAACCAAAATAAATAAATATAAATATTTATTTAATAAATAAATATAAACATTTTAAATACATAAAAATATTTTAAATTACATTAAAAATGTAAAAATGGATAAGTCCGTTACACTTATAAGATCACCAGACTCAATGTGGCATAAAAAATTCAAAACATCATAACAACACATAGTCAAATACAGAAATACCAACACATTGAGAAAATATGCAAACAAGACATTTCCAGCCACCCCTCATCAGTCAAAAGAACTTACCTCTTTGAAAAGACATTTTTAAAAAGTTTCCTAAAGGACAAATGGATCAGGGTAAATGGACCTTGGGGGAATAGAGGGAATGATATTCCAGAGTGCAGGAAAAGCAATTATATAGCAATATCATCAGAGGTGGTATTCAGCAGGTTCTGACCAGTTCTGGAGAACCGGTAGCGGAAATTTTGAGTAGTTCAGAGAACCGGTAAATACCACCTCTGATTGGCCCTGCCCCCATCTATTCTCTGCCTCCCAAGTCCCAGCTGATCGGGAGAGAATGGGGATTTTGCAGTAACCTTCCCCTGCCATGCCCACCAAGCCACGCCCACAGAACTGGTAGTAAAAAAATTTGAATCCCACCACTGAATATCATGATGATCCTAATATTTCATTACCTATAAACCCTAAATCAACGGGCTATCTCCACCAGCCTTCCTAGGTACAACAGATAGGAAACATGACTAGATCAGCTAATTTTATTTTATTGTAAGACTACATTAACAGAATCATGCAAGTCTCATAGCTTTCTCTTTCACCACATAAGAAGTTAAGGATGTTCCTTTCTGAGTCTCTTTCTCTGCCCATTATGCAGCTGCAGGCTTACCTGATCATTCAGCATCTTTTCCCCCTCACTCTCCCAAGGTCATCCCCACATACCATTACAACATCTGATCTGTGCTGTTTCTGTATGTGCTTGAGCCAACACATTGTTATCTTTAGCAATAACATCATGTTCTCTGCACCACTGAACACCTCTGATTGTTAAAGGATTATAGCATACTCAGGGGAAAAAATGTAAGTGGCATATTGGAGAGTTCAGTCAACTATAATTAGCTTACTTTTTAAAATGGGACTGGCATATCACACAGGCGCAGAAGGAAAACATTTATTTTAGGTTTCTATAGCTTTTCAAATTTTTATATTCTTACATAAAATGTGAAGTTTATCCAGTTTGTTCTAGAACTATTAAGATCTTGGTAGAAATACATATAACTAGTCCAAATAAAGTTATACAGCATAAGGCAAGAATCAATCTCTAAATTATATGTGGCTTCATAAAATAATGTAGAAACTTGGAATTATGTTTACAGGACAGAATATCAGGAATTTGTATAATGGTGCCATAGTAGAGAAGACAATGAATGGTGGTTAGGCTAATCCTAAAGGTCCTGGGGAAATTTTATGAAAGGTAAAGAAAACAATTATGCAACAGATGATTGAATGGAAGTTTGGTAAAGCTGTTTTAGATGTGTACAATTTGTGTACTATTTATATACTAAATTATATACTTTCCTCTCTCTAGGCAATGATTATATAGCTATTGTAACATTATTGTAATAATATTCTATCCGATATGAGCATATCTGGATGTTCTGGATCTATTTATTTATTTATTCAATTTATATGCTACCCTCCTCGCCTGGTGGTGATCCAATTCAGTTTTTACAGACCTGAAGCTGATCTGTTAATTTTGAGAACCAGTACTGCATAGTATCAGGACACTATTACATTTCTGGGAGTAACAATCTCCCTTTTTCCACCTGAAGTGAACATGAACATGTCTGGTTGCCCTGTTGAATAACAAAGCTACAAAAGTAAGCCACCTTATTAATGTTGAAGTTGTGGCACAGCTAGCCTTAAAGAAAGGAAAGGATGCTCTGTCAAATGCTACTAACATTACAGTTTTCTCTATTACATGTGGGGTCTTACTTTTAGGTGTGAGAATACTTTTTCGGTACAAGCAACACTGAATAATATCTAGCAAGGTTTTTGTCCAAGCATTAACTTTAGCTATTACTACAGGAACATTCTATATCTATCAACTAAGAATTAATTCATTTCATTTAGCTCTTGCTATACATTTAGTTGACCTTATTTTTACATGTCTTTCCACCTACTTACAACATAGAGAATAGTATTCTCAAAGGTGATGACAGGATAAGCTGCACATGCATAATTGTTCTATCAAATATTTCAATAACCTGTGGAAGTCATGCATACTCTTTTGTGATGCATGGAGCAGAATCATTTCTGTTCTCTTCTTTCGCCAGGAAGATATGAGTGGCTGGATGTTTGCATCTATAAATAGCTACTTTATGTCAGCTAGATGCCAATCTTTTTGAAGAGGGTCAGTCCCCAGTTTGTCTTGGTACTAGGCATCATGCAAACCCTAGAAGAAGCATAGAAACCTCCCAGGACTGGATAGGTCATCCCCATTCATAGCAAATTCCATAAACCCTGCTCAAAGCATCAAGATCAGTATTTTCTTGAACAATAAGGTAAGTGAGCATATTGTTTCCTGAAATAAATGACATTGATTGTCCTATGAGTGCAATGCTTCAGCTTGCAGAAACAAACAGGCAATTTACTGTAGAGAGGTATTGCAGCATTACCAATCTCTATCTAGATTGTTGCTTATTAATAGAGGCTAATTCAGAGATTGATGCCTTCACTGATTTTTAGGGGCCCCATAATAGAAATGGCAAAAGACTTTATTTTTTAAAAAGTTGAAAATGGGGGGGGGGGAATCACTGAAATTAATTGAGAATATATCTATAGCATTGAGGCAACAAATTTTGTTGGTAACAAAAAAACAAATTTCCTATATTTCAGCAAAGATGAACATCTACAGAAAAAATAAGGCCAATCCTCACCCTATCACATAATTAGTTTAACAAAACAAAGAAACTGTTGATGCTCTGAGGTGTATATGCAGTGTGGTAGAGTATTTGCCAAGAACAGAGATTAAAAATATAGCCGTTGTAAACTTTTGGAGCAGTGGTTCAAAATACAAACTAAAAGCACTTGTTGGTATAACATTTAACTATCTTCTCTTTTTCTAGTAAGAATTTTTTTGCTGATCACAACAATGCTCTCACATTCTGACATGATCAAAGAGAGAAAACAGCAAGCATCAGCCATCATGAAGGAGATCCAGCTAAATGGTACATAGTTAAATACCTGCTACTATGCTAGTGTCACATCTAATCTTTCTTTTTAATCTTACAACAATATTTCTCCTATAGCTTTCCCTCTGAATATGTTGCCATAAATAATCTCATGCAGCTATTGCGCTGCCTATGGTAACGAATCCTTTTGTAATGGCTTCTTTTCATTTGAAAGCTATTTTCAGACGAACAACTGTTGTGGAGGAATGAAGTAACTCAACAGCTGATGCATATTCTGCCTAGAATTGACTTTTGGAATATTTTTTGAGGAGATGCTAATGTCTGGACACTGTATTATAGAATTCCTAGAAAAAAATGTTTCCATCTTTGTACTTAAAACTATCTTTAAGGGTGTAAACTTATGCAATTTTAAATTAAAAAGCAAATTATATGCAATGTTATCTCTCTGTCTCCACCTCTCCCACTCAAGGAAGTTTGTATTCATATCCAACCCACAAGGCATACTTCCCAGATAATTTATTTTAAGAAATATTTTGCAACAGAATCTTCTTTTTGCCATCACTAGGATGGGATTCTGAAAGTCTTTGGCTGATCAAGACTGGCCTCCTTTTCTCCCAAAGCAAAGAATGACACAACTGTCAACTGAATGAAATGCTATTTTATACGATTTATGTACCTCAAAATAAATAGTTCAAATATTACCCTTCCTTCTGATGTTAAAAAACAGAACTGAGGTTTGATTTTGGAACTTGTCCTAAAACATATGTGAGCATGCTTAAATAGAAATGAATATACTTGTCCATTCAAATTTCAAAAATTCCTTATCTTTCTTCAAGATTGTCCAAGTTTGTTGTTGTTAGTTCCGAAGTCGTGTCCGACCCATCGCGACCCTATGGACTGCATTCCTCCAGGCCTTCCTGTCCTCTGCCATCCTCTGGAATCCATTTAAACTCACACCTACTGCTTCAGTGACTCCATCCAGCCACCTCATTCTCTGTCGGCCCCTTCTTCTTTTGCCCTCAATCTTTCCCAGCATTAGGTTCTTCTCCAGTGAGTCCTTCCTTCTCAATAGGTGGCCAAATATTTGAGTTTCATCTTCAGGATCCGTCCTTCTAAAGAGCAGGGTTGATTTCCTCTAGGACTGACTTGTTTGTTCACTTTGCAGTCCAAGGGACTCACAGGAGTCTTCTCCAGCACCATAGTTCAAAGGCCTCAATTCCTCAAAGTCCAAGTTACCTGTTGGAATTTAATCTTTAGACTCAAAACAAAAACATCTGCACTACAAGTCAAATTGAAACTTATAACTTAAAATATTATAATTTATAAACTAAACATAAGTTATCAATATTATATTTCTCTAAAAAAATGAAATAATTTGTTATCTGCAAAAATAAAATTTTATCTAGGGCAACCAGCTCGTGCCTCAGCTCCCAAGGTTTTTTTTGTTTTTTTTTAATATCAGTGGTAGTTTTTAAACAAATCTGGGGTCCATGCTTGATGTGATATAGAAGATCTGGAATCATATTTTTTAATTCAATACGATAAGATAAAATGATGCTGGTAATGTGATTTTCCATCTTCCCAAATTCCATACTATTTTACATGATAGTATTTAAATGTAATAATTCCATTTATACTTGTAAGGTTTAGATTGGTGGGTGGATATATTATAAAAGTTTCCACAGATATATTATAATTCAATTTTATAAACAACTCTTTGTCCTGTTCATTTCACCTCACTAGCAGGTTTTTAAGTTGATGAGAAAAAATATACTTTATAACATCCACATTCTAATGTGGAACTTTAATAAATAGTCCCACTAGCCAAATTCACCCTTCCAATCCTTTCATTACAGAACAGACATACTACAACAGAAGTAGTACAACTAGAAGGCAGACAAATTCACATATTTTCTGCTAGTGCTCTCTGGATGCAGAATTGTTTTTAAGCCTAATGTAAGAACAATAATGGCCATTTAATAAATTTTGGGCCAATTTTGACCCAGGAAAAGAGTTTACCAGAGTAAAATCAAGATGTTGCCATTTCCCACATTTTGATTCAGGAGGGAAACAAGAATGAAGGGATATATTAATATCACTTTAAGTCTGTATGCAAAATCTGGTTAAGTCTGAATGCATATTGTGGAAACTGAGGCTCATAATGTTTTCATATTATAAATCCTAAACATCCCTAAAGAGTTTGCATTGTGCAATAAAATACATTACATTAGACAATAGGTCAACCCGTATTAGAAATGGCATATTTTATCTTTAGAATATTAGACATGATAAAGAGAATGCTTTTAAAAATTCATTCATTTCAATATCCACAAATACCCTTGCAGCAGTCTGTGGATATTCAAACAGTCCATTATTCTGCTGATGATTCTAGATGTCTCTAGAAATACACAACTATCCTCTTAGACAGTTTGGCCCCAAGAACTGGTTATATACTTCTGAATGTAAAATTCCATAACATATACATTTCTATAGCCAGTGATGGACCTTTCCTCCATGAAATTCTCGCATTTCCTATACCTCGAATCCTACTGGTATGGATATATGTAATTATGATTTTGGTGTATATTAGCAATAATTTGATATAATTGAAAAGAACAGATTTCATGAATGTAAGAAGCAGCCTTGTTACTATTTTCTCTCTCAAATTACAGGTTCTGGCCTTGCCATAATTGCCTTCTGTACCTTTAACATGGTATATTGTTGCAAAGACAATATCTTATTTTATTCATCTATCTAAAGGTAGTCTTTTGAATTGGGATTTATCTGAAACTGATCAGACAGCTTTATTAGTGGGAAAAAATAATTACCATTGAAATTGATTTATTACCATATTAATCATACCAATGATTTAGGAGAATTCTCATAGAAATATGTTTTATTTTGTAGAATCCTCTCAAATGGATCTTGGAAAAAAGGTTAGCATCCCCAGGGATATCATGCTGGAAGAACTATCGCTACTCAGTAATCGAGGAGCAAGGCTGTTCAAAATGCGGCAAAAGAGATCTGACAAGTACACATATGAAAATCTTCATTTTTTATCTAGCACACCAAGAAATGTGAGTATTTTATTTAGTTTTCAGTTATAAGGCAGCATAAGAGTCCTAGCAAAATTCATGAGTTCCTAAACTCAGTAAAGCTGATTGATTATGTACTTAATTTGTTGAAATACTATTGAGTAACTGGTGAGTTTCCAGATTTAGTAATTAGACTTAGCGCCAAGTGTGAGAAAGTAGATTGGTTTATAGGCATCACTTACTTTGAAAGGATTTCCTATAGTTTTAGAACATTTCATTTAAAATAATGGTCAACAGCAAAAAAGACTATTCACCATCACCAAACTTGAGTATATTTACTTGCTAAGTAAACATCTATAACCCTTTGATCCTAGAGTGAATCCTTAGAACTCTACAGATGAATCACAAAAATGCTAGCACATATTTCTGTATACATTCATTATTTTAGGGAAGATCAGCATGGCTGATCTTTCTGTCTGAAGAAAAGAAATATTACCTTTCCTGTTATAAAATATTATTCTTTGCATACTTCGAAATTCAATCTCACTAAGCAGAAGCAAACACTGAAGCAAAAATGTGAGGACTGAGACCACAAATGAGAAAGAGATGCACTTTGATTTCATAATAAAATATAGATAGTCTTACACCTCTGTAGTCTTCTTTACAAGCATATTCTGGAATTGAATTCTATATTTTGCTGGGATAATCCTTGAATCCAGTATTTACTTTTTTTTAATAGTAATTGTATTAAAAATTACAATTACAAAGATAAAAACTAATACAAACTAAAAGAATAAAAAGAAAAATAGAAAAGCTCAGAAAATATATATATAGCAAAATAGAAAGAAAAAATTAAGAATATATAAAGAAATGATTTCCCCCTTCAGCACAAGTATAAATAATTTTAGTAAATTATTGCCTTATTTTAAAATACAATAAATGATCTCTTCTCATATTCAATCTTTTATCTATAAATCAAGGACTACTGTATGTAAAATATTTTTATGTTGCATTAACTTTTTTTTAAAAAAATATTAGAAAGTACAAACAAACAAACGAACAACAACATGTTTCATTAACTTTTTATTTAAGATCAAAATAAAATTAAATATCATTTTAAGTAAATTTTCACTTATTTAAAATATATGACATTGAACTTTATTATTGCAAATCCAGATAAATAATTAATACCATTTTAATGAAATTACTTCTAATAAAAATGTACTGATGGCCTAGTAACCATAACTGATTCTTTCAATATTAATAATTATGGAATTTCAAGCAGTAAAGTGTCAGGTGCAAAAAGTCCATTTAAAAAAAAATGCCTTCATTGAATAAATTAAAAAGCACTCATATACTTCAAATTCATTTGATCAAGGCAATATCATTATGAGAGGAATAGCTGACCTGAAGTAGGAATGTACTATTCCTATTATTATAATATATGTGGCTATTATTATTCTTATTGAGATAAACAAAGGAATCAGAATAGAATCCAAAATTCCATTTCTTAAACATCTCAATTGTTTTACTGACATTGCATTCAATGGAATGGCATTCAATGTGCTTTGTGCCATTTCAAAGAATAATCTGGGAGATGCTGGGAGTCAGGTGACATATAAATAATAATTATAAGAAGAAGAAGCATACTGGACTCTCTGTTAATAAAATTCAAACAGCAAAAAAAGTCTCTGACATCTGTAAAACATATCATATACATATTCTATACTCTACTTCACTTTGCAGTGTTGTTAATATTTTCAGACTATCAAAAGCAAGACATTCTAAAACCAAATTCAAAATAAAGGGGGTATATTTGAGGTATATTGTGATACAAATTAAGAAGAAGAAAGAAACTTCTAAAGATCATACATAATCAAGGATTGGCTAGAACATGTATTTCCAAAATTCTGAACTTTTGGAAAAGTTTTTTAGCCCTCAGACGATGATTTGGGGTGGGGTGGGGAACTGTAACCTTACAATCTAAAATCATCTATACTTGGTATGAAGGAACCAGAGAATCAGGGAACAGTTGATCCCAATTATCTCCCTGTGTGTTTTAAAGAAGTAAGTTTTTAGAAGTAAGTTCCAGAGAGTTTAATGATGCTTGTTCCAAACTAATGAGACATATGATTGCAGCAATGCTAATCTTAATGCAGTAGGGGTGGTGTGATTGCCACTGTTGTGTGTGTGTGTGTGTGTGTGTGTGTATGCTTTCCCAATGAACTATTAAACTTCAGCACCTGCAATGGTGCCATTGAAGAAGCATTTCCTTTACTTTTTAAGATTCTGATGCCTGTATCTTAATACTTTCTCTTAGTCTAGGAACTCTTAAAAAATGAAATAGCTGAATTGGTGTCAGCCTTTCCATAGAAAGATTGTTTTTAAATTTTCTGTTTCTTCATGTTTCAGTTTTTCCCCTTATCCATGGAAAATTGTACTTTAACACAGTCTTGTATGTAACAATCTTTTCATTTCAATGTCATAGCTAAAATTAGCATCTGACGTTTTAGAGAGCTCTAATTCTATGTTAACAAAACAATGATTAAGGCTTGGGATGCACTATTGGAACTAATGAGCCAGTAAAAAGAGTGGATAATCCCAGCCTGCCTTTAATCTTCATGCAGTAGCCAGAACTAAGGTTATTATTATGATTGCCAATTCAGACAATGTTGGGAAATTCTTTATGGATATGATGTTGATTAAAATAAAATCAACAGAAATGTCCTGCTCTTTAAAACCAAATGTAAATCTCCAGCTGCATTGGAACTATAATTCTCTATAGGGGATGGTAACAACTTTTCAGTTTCCATAAGTGTTGACATTTCCTTGCTTAGATCTCTATATGACTTCTCATAAATGGGATATGTGAGATGTCAAATTAAATTTCCCAGTATCTTTTTCTTAGACAAAAGCAAACTCAAGGGACTAATTTTGGATCAGGAGATAACAATGTGAAAGGGGCAGTGCCTGTATGTCTTTTGCCTTTAGTGTTAATATATGTTAACTTCAAGAGAGCAATTTCAATCAGGTCCATGGTTTACAGAAAACAGATCTATTCCCAATAACTTGGCTCTAAATTAAATCAGACCACTTATGATTGCTTTTAGCAGAATGATATTTTAAGAATCTGTGTATCCTTTGCATTATATTTAGTCTAGACTGCAATTGTTGGAAAATTTAAACTCCCTTATGCATAAAAGAGCTAAAGACTTCAGATTAGCTTGAATGGTCTATCCAATACCTCACTGAAACCACTGTGTGGTTCTCCCATTTCATCTATTAGTGATTTTGTAGTTTCTCTGTGAAGAAGGTCCTAAAACAGAGCTATTGATTTATGAGAGACATTTCATTCAGAAAATTCTTGATAAACTTATTTGCTTAGAGCACTAGAAGCCTATCATTCTCAACATGTTTGATATTTTCATTGTAGGTTTGAAAGCCAATTTAAAACCTGTGCACCTCCCCCCACACCAGTGGTGAAATCCAATTTTTTTTACTACCGGTTCTGTGGGCGTGGCTTGGTGGGTGTGGTGTGGTTTGGTGGGCGTGGCAGGGGAAGGATACTGCAAAATCTCCATTCCCTGCCCACTCCTGGGAGAAGGATATTGCAAAATTTCCATTCCCACCGCACTCTGGGGCCAACCAGAAGTGGTATTTGCCAGTTCTCTGAATTACTCAAAATTTCTGCTGCTGGTTCTCTGAACTTCTCAAAATTTCCGCTACCGATTCTCTAGAACCTGTCAGAATCTGCTGGATTTCATCCCTGCCCCACACCCCAGCATCCATTAAACATGAGTAGTAATTAACCAATTCATCCAGAGGTTGTGTAGCTTATTTCATAGTCATAGATACAAAAAAACAGAGAGGCAAAAATGGCTAGAAAGCTATTAAAAAGACTGAATAGCCAAGACACATTCTGGCATCTCTCTTAAATGGTATTTGCAATTAATAGATGTGATTCTTATTCCTATTCAATTATAGCGCAATGAGATCATACAGTGTGTCCAGTTGGATGCTCATGGCATGGAACCTAGTCATCTAAATGCACCAATGACACCTCCTAATACACCTGATCCAAGGGGTCCACCCAATCCTGAAACTATTGCCCCAGGTAAGCTATTGCACAGCTTTTATATTAAACAATCTTTTTAAAAAATCACAAAGAATTAATAAGTCTCTAGGAGAACTAATCTTAAATATCACTCCAGAAAGATGATGAAATGTCTATATTCACATCAAAATGATGCCAGTGAATCATAATAGTTACTGTGAGAGGAATGGAATTTTCATATCCAACTTTTAAGGATTATTCTACTGAAATAAATAAAACATCCAGATTTTGTTTTTAGGATCATAATCTAGCTAGCTTTCTCAGTGGTGCAATTTCTAGTATAGCTGTATAATAGAAAAAATAGCAAACTTACAATGTAACTGGGATAGAAACATTCCAATTAGGTGATTTTTACAGATATTGTAAGTAAAACTTTTGAACTAGCATTTAAACAAACCAATCACAGTGCTAGAAACTCTGGGAAGAATTGTAGTTCAGTGTGGAATACAGATTTTAACATTTAACTTCTAGTGAATGAGATCAGATACCAAGTTCTAATTACTATTAGATTAGATAAATTGTAGTTTTTAAGTCAATAATAAACAGGTTCCTATTGACTGGTTATATCAAAATAAAGAATTTTGTAGATTATGTAAGTTTCTTGGTATTAGATAGGGAAGAGGAGGCAACTAATGTTGTAATTAATTCAGTAAATTAAATTTATAGCTAGGTATGTATTGTGATTCATAAATTGCAATAATAAAGAAAGCAGAACTATAGAAATCCTGTATTGTAAGAATAAATTTTCCACTGAATATAATGTTTGAAGCTAGTATGAAACTGATCCAAACCTGGATAGAAATGTATTAACTTAATATACAAGATAATATATTTCCAAAAGTATACATATAGGCAAAATATATTACATTCCCGCCAAAAAGATGACAGATATTAGATTAATAATAAATACACTAGAATATATTAACAACAAGAAAAAGAAGGCAATAATAGTATGGATGGAGATGCAGGTTGAATGCAGAAAAAGCCTTTGATAATTTAGAGTGGACTTTTTGTTAGAAGCCCTCAATAAAATGAATTCAGAAGAATTGAATCTTTATTGGAGATGAATTTACAATTTGATAAAGAAATGGAACAAATCTAACATTTCATGATAAAAGTTGAACTAAAATGTCAAAAATGTAATTACACTGGAACATAGGAAGAGCTATAGAAAAAAAATCTGTAAAATGGTCTGTCGGTGGTATTTACTAACTATGGCATTTTATTATATGTGGGACTCATGCAAACAACAACTCAAAAGCATTAGAAGAAAATGTATTGCAATATTTGAAAAATCTTTTACTTAAATTTGAAGTAAAACCATAACTGTATTATTGGGAATAATTTCAGAAAGCATAAATGAAAAGTATCCCAAATTATATGCTGACCACAGTAAGAATAAACCTGAAACAACATTGGAAAAGTGAAAATCTGCCAAAGATAGGTTGTACAAGAGTTGAATATGTAGCAATAGTACACCTGACTGTACATATTTATAACAGAAATATAGCCAAATTTAATCAGGACTTTAATATATTTAATATAAATACAAATATATTGTAAATATACCATGCATAAATAAGGTAGATTTAAATATTTGGAATACAGCTTCTAGGAAAAGAATCAAGAGTCTAATTAAATACAACAGATGAGGCAACCTAATGAGAGATTATAAGCAACATTTTCCAATGTTTAATATTAAATATTAAAAGCACAGTGTAAATATTTAATGGTTAGTAGCTGGGAGGTAATAATAGAAGGTAAGGGAAGAATATGCCATCAAGTTTTCCTTTACAATATTTTAAATCTTTTTTTTATAAATAACTCAAGGCAGAAAACATACATAATATACCTTTTCCTTCCTATTTTCACCACAACAGTCCTGTGAGGTTGGTTGGGCTGAGAGGGCATGATTGGCCAATGTCACCCAGCTGGCTTTCATGCCTAAGGCGGACCAGAACTCAGTCTTCTAGTTTCTAAGCCAGCATCTAAAAGCAATAAATGGACATGCAGAATGTCAATACACTTGTCTCCTGGAGTAGTAGGTGCTCCATCACTGAAGGTTTTAAGAAGAAACTGGATAGCCATTTGTCTGAAATGGTATATAGGATCTCCTGCTTGACAGTGGTTGGACGAGAAGACCTCCAAGGTCCCCTCCAATTCTGTTATTCTATTTTCTCTAATATAATAGAAGAGTATAAATAGTCTTCAATTTACAGCCACAATGGAGCCTGGAATTTCAGTTGTAAGTCATTGCAGTTATAAATGGATGCTCATTAGTTAATTAATTTGTTAATTTACACGTACTGAATGCATTCATCTGTTATGAAGTCTTCACAGTAGAAAGGGTTATTCTGTGTGGGTGGAAGAGGAGGACACAATAATACTTCAAATAAAAATATTATGCATATTTTAAAAATACAATAGTTCTTATACAACAGTGATTTGAGGACAGAGTTCTGACTGTTCCCTTGTATATTTACTGTGGATTGTCTGGAAGATTTTAATTTACTTGGATGTTTATTTTAAGCGTGTTTGGATTAGAATTTAGTATGATGACACTTCATGCAACTTGTCTTGATAAATGTCAGACATTAATTGTCCTAATTTAAAAATAAGATTTTTTTTAGGGTTAAGAGAAGTCACAGAGCGCTCTTCGTGAATAAGGAAGCTATATAAAGCTATAATTTTGCTGTTCTTGTTGCTGTTACTGATAGGACCTAACATTTTCTAGATGGATACAGCACCAATGTTATCATGTTTAGCTAGAATATGTAGGTTTTGAATCAAATAAAAAGATTTAAAGGAACCTTTACATGAGAGTTACTGAGCATAATTTAATTTTCTGGCAGCAAAAACACTTTCTGCTGGCGTACTTAAAAACCTCTTCCTGTAAGAAAAGTTGTTTTATTTAAACATGAGCTGTCTAATTTGTAAGAAATAAATTATTAAAATGATCAGGGTCTTTTTTTTCTTTTATGAGTGCCACATAATGGATTTGACTCAAAGGAGATTTATTTAATTAAAGCGGGAACTGTCATCACAATTTCCTGAAATTGTACACTATTGAACACAGCATGACTTACTGCTGAATAAATATTGATAGTGTATGTACATGCACACAATCATGGGACCGACTATATTGTCATGCCAGTTGCAATTTATTGTTGTTCTTAAATGATAACATTTCCATTAAATAGCCAGGAGGTACTTGCTTTAAATAATGAGAGGCTACATAAAATATGTTGCCTTGAATCATTGCAGGAATCCAGTTCAGGACAGTGACTCTTGACTCAAAAAAAAATGAGCTACACCACTCCCAGAAGATGAATCAATCCAGTCAGATGCTTCACTCCATTTGGCCATCCTGTTCTAACACTGAGGCACATTGTTGATCCATAGTATTGCTTCACTGAAGCAAAATGCCCCCATACATCTGTACAGCCCTAGTTTTTATTACAAGTTTGTTTCCCTTCCCACGGTTTAACTCTTCACGCATATTTTCTTAAAATAATAAGCTAATAACGTCATCTTGATCTTAACTGGTTCAAGTGGATTATCTTCTAAATTTGCTTGTCACTTTATTATTTTTAAAAGCCTTTTATTTCTTAACCTACTTAAAAACTATGTTGTGAAGGGAAGTGATGTTGCAAAGGTAGCTAATTAGTGCATGTCCGACTTCTGCTGGAAATTAGCCAAGCTGGTTTCTCCTGATCCTTCAGGGTCGGTTGCTCATATGACTGACATGCTGCTCCACAATTCCTTGACTGTTCAAATTATATATAGTCATCTGTACCTGCATTACTGAAGATGTTTAAATTGTTTTATATTATTATAGGGAGGGCACAGCTAAATCTTGCAGGGGGTGGAGAGTTCATGTTTACAAGTTTTGAATCTAACACCTTAACTTTTGTCTTTTTCTACCCATCCTTTCCAAATATGATTTTTCTTCATAATACCCAGTACATAATACATGAAAATGTAAAACCAAATTGTTATTTCCAGAGCAAAGCCACTGATATTCAACAGGAATACTTCAAAGGTACAGGACACAGAATATGACCTAAAGCTACCTATTTTTAAAATATTATTAAAATATAATTATAATGTTGTGTCGGAGTCACTGGAGATGTAGTAACAATGAATTGTCTAAATGTATTGGGAAACTGCTGTTATCAAATTCAAATGTTTTGGTATCCTTCTTCTCCTAAAGGTTACTCTGGACCTTTGAAGACAATTCCTCCTGAGAAGTTCAACACTACATCTGTACCAAAATACTATCAATCACCTTGGATTGAGGCCATCAGTAATGACCCTGAGCTGCTGGAAGCTTTGTATCCTAAATTGTTTAAGCCAGAGGCAATACCAGAACTACCCAACTTTAAGAGCTTTAACAGGTAATTTTGAACAATCATCAAATTTCATTAAATGCAGAAAACAATAGCATGAAGAAAATGAATGTGGATTTTAAGATGCGAATATAAGGAAGCTTATAAAAGGATTGCAATTATTTGGGTTCCTTTAGATGGATTCATCAGAAGCCTGGAGCCCTTAACAGTAGATTCTAGTTTACATAAGTAACATAAGACCACCAGAGGCTTTCCCATGCCATACCATGACCCAGCAACTCTTTATAGGAATTTGACAAGCATGTCTAGGAAGGCAATAGAGGGAACAATGTAATTGAATTTAGCCAGCCAGAGTCATTGGGAATTGGGCAGCATATATATTTATTTAATTAATTGTAGTTCATACTGAAGGCAAACTGATCTAACTTTGTCTTTTCAACTCAACACATTAACTGAAACAGTTTTAATTCAAAACTTTATTTCAAAGCTTGCATATAGCTAACTGTATTTTTAAAAAAATACACTGAGCTAAATCTGTACAAAAATGTTTTTCCAGTATTCATAATTATTCAAGAAATCATTGCAAAACCTATGAATATAAAACGTCACCTAAATATATCGGATCGGATCGGATCGGATCGGATAGAACAGGACAGGACAGGACAGGACAGGACAAATTTCTTTATTGACCAAGTGTGATTGGACACATAAGGAATTTGTCTCTGATGGATAAGCTTACAGCGTACATATAAAGAGCAAGTAATAGGTCATAGGTCACAATCATAGTTACAATCATAATCAATATATATGCATATTTGGAGAACTAGGCATCAAAGTATACATAAATTTCAGTAGGAGGAATTCAGGAAACTTGAAATTGACATATACAGTACACCATTCTTTAGGTATAAAGATAGTCCTCACTTACTGTCTGCTCATTTAGTGACTGTTTAAAGTTTTAATAGTGCTGAAAAAAAGATTTGCAACCAGTCATGCTATCGCAGTGTCCTTGCAGTCATGCAATCACAATTCGGGCATTTAACAATTGTTGTGCATTTACGATGGTTCCAGCATTCTTCAATTACATGATCACCATCTTCAACATTCACAACAGGCTTGTGACAAATGAAGTTAGTGGGGAAGCCAGAAAGTAGTCACAAATCGCCATCATGTAACATTACACTTAACAACTGCAGGTGATTTGCTTTGTGACTGCAGCTGGAACTGATGTCATAAGATGGTACTGTCATGTGATGTTTCACTTTATGACATCATTTAGCAATAGAGCTTCAGTCCCAATTGAGGTTGGTAAGTGAGGACTACCTTTAATACCTTGTATTCATATTTCAAATACCAACTGCTAGGGAACACCAATTAAAGGAGAAGTAGACTTTTCCATTATTTTTCCCCAGGAGTTATTATATATGATGTTGCCTGAGTTTCATGAGGGACATTACTGCTGCTACAACTACTAATAAATGACCTCATCTTTAAGGAATTTGTCCAGTCTTTTACATCTGACTAAATTGGTGATCTTCATCACATCTGATGACAGTTAATTCTAGAGTTAAACTATTCATTGTGTAAAAAAGTATTTCCTAATTATTTATTGTGTAAATAAATATTTACACAAAAATATTTCCTTTACAAACAATCCCTGGAAGAAACACAAAATCTCAGTCTTGCCCATGTGAATGACATGATTCCCTACTACCATGATTCCCACAGCAGCCTTCACCAACTACATGTTAACCTCCATACATTTCATTTCAATGAATAATCCAAATTCTAATCCTACCCACATTTGCTGTACTTGGGTAATTTTATATACTTCTATCATATCATCCCTTATCCAATTCACCTGTTGCTCAAATCCTTTATGTAATTTATGTGCTAATGAATTGCTGCTTATAACTACTTTGGTTGTACTCTTTTTGCATATTTTCTCATTCTGTAATATCCTAAATGAAGCCTCTCCATATATTTATATAAATATATTTCCATATTCCACAGTTGGCCCTAACACAAGCTAAACATACACTTTGCTCTTCTTAAAAAAACAATCACCCTCCGCATCATCACTTTAATGGAATGGTTAATTTGTTGGACCAGGAAGGAGTGAGACTGAGGTTATAGGTCATCCTCAGCCATGGAAACTTCCGGGTTACCTTTGAGCCAGTCACTCTCTTACACCCCTAAATACTGTACAGAGGAGGGCATGCACTGTTTACCATCTTGAGCTCCAGGAGGAAAAATTGAATGTGAAGTTCTTGGAACTCTGTAATCATGTTATTCAGTTGAAATTGCTTAATGCATTGTAAGCCGCCCTGAGTCTCCGGAGAAGGGCGGCATATAAATCAAATTAAAAAAAAAATGTCTGCAAACAAACAACCAAGCTCAGAGAGCACTAAGACCTCTACAGTTCAACTCAGCTACATATAATCTCTTCTACTCCCCCCCCCCAAAATTAAACATAATTCTCGCAAACAAAACAAACAACCCAGGAAAAAACACAAAATCTTACCCATATGTATGACATGATCCCCTTCTGACTTTACATCACAATCATGATTCCCAATGCAATCTTCACCATCCACACGTTAAATATTGTTCAACCACCAAATGGTTGACCAGGTTTTTTTCTAAAATATATAGGTTACTATTTCTTCTCTCCCACTACTTTTATAGATGTATAGATTCCATATTAAACCATTTTGAAGTTTAGGGATTGAGATATAATCTTACTTAATTGCCACACATTTTTATATAAACTAGAGACTCAGAATATTGCAATCAGTCTTATTCAGCAGTAGAAGGAACTTTGTGCTTTAGTAATAAACTGATTCTTTTGTAATTTTTTTAATTAGATGGTTAAGATTTTTAAATAATCAAAATGGATAAATGCATACAAAATAGAATGAAAGTGTCATATAAATGCAGCACATATGTTAAGGAGATTGACCAAAAAAACCCCCACAACCCATCAGTGAAATTCTAAACTGTGGCTTTTAGCAAAAGTTCTAAACATGTTGACATTGACTCAAAATATTTTGGGAGTGTTTTTGTAAAATATCCAGGTTATGGGTCATGTTTATTCATACTCAATATAGTAATCTCATTTATTGAGACACTGTGTCTGTTTTTAATAGCTAATGCTGAGTGACTAAGACATCATACCCACAAAATACACACAGACAAAATTATCAAAAGGTAGTAGTGCACTGCTACAGAAAACAGGAAACAGACACTACACACTTTTAGCAGCTGGTCAAGACTGGTTTTCTGCTCTGCAAAATAAAGCATCACAAATATTTCTTAAGAAAACTAACCAAAGATGTGATTACTAAAGATGTGATAACACGTCTAGGGTTAACACATCATGCTAAGCTTAAGCAAATCATAAAAGTTTAAGGACACCTGGTCTACACTGTGAGATCAGTCTCTGAGTGAGTTGGACCCTTACATCTATATGATGTCATTGCAAGAACATCAAGGAAATATAACTCTGAGTTTAATACTGCAGTTGCATGCTCATTGCTATCAAAGAAATATAAAGGTTGACTATATTCCATGCTCCCGATTCAGATTTGGAAATTATCTAAACCAACAAAGCTTTTGTGTTACCTAACTCTTTGTTTGCAACTGTAACAGAACAAACTCAGATAAAAAAACTGAATACAGCTGCAACATCCGTTTAGTTATCAGGCACAACCACATTGGAATATTTTCACATCTAGCTGTGACAATTCAAAAGGAGCTGGAATGGATTCAGAAGGCAGCTAAAAGGATTTAAAGGGCATAAAAGAAAAGTGCTGCTTGTTATTATTTCATTGCTTTAGATTTTTTTTTATGTATGAGTCATTTGCTGTCACAATAAGTCTTACAGCACATTAATTAGAATAAAATTCATCTAACATAAAATTAAGTATTTAAAAAAAATGTATATGCAACAGTAGTTGATAAAAACAGTATCTGTCCTCCAGTCCATCTTAGATTTAAGCCTAATAAGTGGGATCAAACTAAAGTAAACTAATAATAAATTAATAAGCACATCAAACTAAACTAAACTAAGGAATTCAAGTCTGCAAACATGTTCCTATATCATAATCTGATGATGGCCATGAAACCAGCAGCTATTCTGACAGTACTATGGATATTAAAACCATAGTGGGAGACCCACATACCAAACCCCACACAATCTCCATTACTTCTAATAGTGAGGCAGTTCAGCAATGGGTGAGTCCAAACGATCCCTAACCTGTTCCAAATGATTCACACAGGATACCAGTCCTGACTGGTAAAAAGCCCTGGAATTCGTACATTTCCTACTCTCCCAATTCACTTTCTTTTCCAAACTGTCTTTAAAATTGTGTTTCCACCCTACACCCATTTCTTCCTTCGACTGACTGAATTCTTTGATTTTTGGGAACTAGACTCTTGTGCTAAGAAAAAAATAGAGACCCCCCCCCATTTCAGGATTTGGGAGAAAATTGGAGGGAGCAGGGAGGGGGGAACAAAACTAGAAATTTCTAGAGAAGGGTGTAATAGCTTGCCTGCAGCTAGTAGACACCATATTATGCACAATATATTATGTTATATATCACAACAACTCCCAACCTTACTGTCAATCCTTGCTGGTCACTTGAAAAGAACATAGAAGCTTTATTTCTTAATTAAATACCTGATCTACCAAACTCTTCTAATCGTTAATTAAATCTTTAATGAGAGAAAATTTGTACGTCTCTAATCTGATGTTCACTAGGAGGAAGAGGAGGAGGAAAAGGAGCCTTCATTGGGATTCTCCTGATGTCATGAGGAGAAGGAAATGATTCTGAGACATACTGTATAACTTCATTTCCAAAAGGGATACAATATTTGAAAATATTATTACCTTCTATAGTTCTGCAAACAATAGATTTTCATTGAATATATTATTAAATTAAGACTATTTATTCAGGAAATCTAACTGAATTAAATGCCAGATTTGTGATTTATCCAGGCAGTCTCTGAGAAATGACAAAATTGAACAGAAAGGGGTGGGGGGAAGC